CTAAGTTGCCCTGGCAACAAGACCAAGTTGTAACAACGAGGTCAACCCACTTCTATAAATCGAAAGGAGACTGCGACCATACCAGAAGCCACAACATCTTGGTCTTTATAAATTTTATTCCTATTATTTATGTATTCTCACAAAGTGTGCTCATGCTGGCTCCGATTAAAGATGAATATACTTCATCGCCCTGTCCCGCCTCAGAGTGCGAAAGCTGATTCGACTTCTCCAAGGCCTAATTTGAAACCCATCCGGACTCGAATCCGGACTGTTCAGATCCGAAGGCTAGCGTTTAGCCATTTTGATCTTACCTCAAATACTGCGAGCTGGGTTACTCTTAATTCTTATTGCATATTATTCGTCCGATCCGTTGGTACATCAGCAAGTTTAACTTTTTTGCTGAGGGTTACATGCATTTAACGATGACCACATTTCGATACGTACACAAAGCAGTGGCTGAAGTGAATAATCCCATAGCTTGGGAACGCTGAAAGGACGACGCCATCACCAAAATCACTCCACTATTTGTGACCCTATTTCTGTCTGCTTGGATCAGAATTTTCACCTATTTACCACTTATTGCCACGGTTAGTTGCTATCGCAATATCACTTAATGGCCATTTGACTTTCTCTCACATGACAATGCGCTTCTGCCTTTCCCTTGTTATGTGTATCCCACCATTGCCTCTATCACTTTGGCCCTTTAAAATCCTCAATCATCGTCCCACTTCGTGAATTCCCCTGCCCAAGACTTCGATGAGTCTTAAAGTGGCCTTTTCGAGGCAGAAGAACCCTACTACTAAATCGGCCCAGAAACCAAAATCTTAAGTGCTTAAGTCGTTCAGAAGCTCAAGCAAAGGCGCCCAAGAGCAGAACTTTGGTGTAAATTGGGTTCTCAAAGAGGCTGACGCAGGAAGGTGGATGAGCATTAAATGGTTGAATATGACGGGCGTCGAAACATTTCATAGGTTCCGATCCGGCTTAGAAATCTTTAAATCAGACATTAAAACATGCATGCTTGCTTAAGAGTATTTGTCCAGTCTCAGGTATGAAATTTCCTTTTTCCTCTCGTCTACTTGACGCCTGCTACGCCTGTGTACGTCTATGTGAGTCTCGGATGGATTATTGTAAAATCCCATGTCCATATATACGTGAGATGAATGGGATTCGAGCTCATTCTGCCGTCCCACCCGGCCGGCTTCGCAAAGTAATCGTAAACATTTATGTCCCTCTTTCACTGCATCAGGACTAATCAACACATTGTCGGAGGAGGGAAAATGAATTGGGCGGCCCAGTACTTTGGCGGTCCGAGTGTATCTGAGCGGATGTTACAGTGACGACCATTTGGTGACCACAATGACTGCCCATTTTGTTGTCGATCTCCTCCCTCATCTCCCCAGCCTGCCCCTCTGCCTGGGCGGAGGATGAGTTTGTGGGTCCCCGGGATGACGAGATAATCTATGTCCCAGGTCAGCGGCCTCACACCAGCAAGTCGAGCCAGTTACGGGCAGGAGACAGCATCAAAAGAAAGTAGAACGAAGCATAGCCATGCAGCATGTTGAGGTTAAATAAGGAAACTGGACGAGACACTATGGGCAGATGATCAAAGGCGAAGCGGAGAGGAGACATGGTGAAGAAGCGGTTGAGCGACTGTCCGTCGAGCCCCCCTCATGTACACGTTCTGGTTCACTCTCCCTGCCTTTCTCAACGAGGCTGGCTCCTACGTTCTTTTTTCCCCTCTCCCCTAAATCCTGGCCGATCCGCTTTTCAGACTATCTGATTGTGGCCGTTTATGACAACACTTTTAATTTAGCATCATTCAGCCGAAAGGCAATAAATTATTACCGTCTCAGCTCCAGCCGTGAAGACTACATGCCACATTTATCGCCGTTCCCTGGCGCGACAGGAAGAATCGAACGATTTCCACCGGGTAAAAAACCATACGGATTGTAGACTTTGAGGAGCTGACGGTGTTCCGGTGATTTTGCAAAAAAAATGCCAATTTGCACTTGATTAGCTCAGTTAAAAAGTGAAAAAGAGACGCTCTCTAGTGTCCTCGGTGGGCAGTCAAACACCCACTAACCAGTTCTTATACCCCGCCCTTCGAGGTTTTCTCTACAGATCACCAGAATGGGTTCAAAGGCTATCCGAGACCCGATTCTAAGTGACCTCTACGGCTTCTGCGCTTATTTTATGTTTGTCCCTCCCGGCTGTCTAGGCTTCAAGCCATCTGAGGGGGCTAGGAAGTGAAAGAAGATTGACTTCGAAGCGGATGAGGTTGCTCGTCGTTTTGCCCAGCTCGAGTCGGTTAAGGGGCTCTGACGGGAAGCGAACAGACCGGTCTTTGAGTCCAAGACCAGAGCTTTTATTCTCCTTTATTTCTGATCACTTCACAAATTTCCACCACTTTTGACAGAATTGCCTTTTCTCCCTTTTTCCTGCTCAGCCTATCTGCTTCTGTTCAGATGTCCATTTGGGCCAGAACACTAGGCCGTCTTTGCAACAGTATCCGGACGAGGCCAGACTGGTCTGAAAGAGTGTTTGTGTCATAGCCTCTTCCGCATTTAAGCTAAAGACTGAGGCTGTTGCCATCGTCTCGACACGGTCACGCTTTGGGCCTAGCAACAAGAGGAAGTGGTCACAGGAGCCGGAAGCACAGGAAATAGGAGCCAGTCTACATGTTTCAACGAGCCGGTCTATCCGGACCTGACGAATGTACAGTCGTCAGCACAACCGTTGGCTCGATTTTCTCGGGAGGCTACAGAAGAAAACGTGGCGTAAGGGCAACTTCACCTCGAAGCGGGTGCAGCTGCGAGCCACAGACGCGGCCCAACTCCCCTCCTGTCGTAGTCTCTTCCCAATTTTCCATTTCGATATGATGCCAAGGCGATATTGCCAGGTCGACGCCTCCACCGCCCGACACCTGTTGCCACCCCCATCTATTCGGTGGATAGGACAGGTGGTATGTCGCATCTACTGGCCGAGTTGACAGCTGACAGAGTAGCTAAGACGTGTTCCAAACACAGCACCATTATTGACAATAATAATAATGATAATAATAATAATAATAATAATAATAATAATAATAATAATAATAATAATAATAATA